GATTCTACTACTGAAAATACTCAAAAAGCAAATGTCCTATTCAACATTCAGAAAGAGAAATCCTGCTGTAATCTTCTCTTCTCTTCTCTTCTCTTCTCTTCTCTTCTCTTCTCTTCTCTTCTCTTCTCTTCTCTTCTCTTCTCTTCTCTTCTCTTCTCTCTGTCTCCCACTGTCTTTCAAATATTGCCCAAGTGATGTGGCTACCAGCATTAGGACATATTTCTGCTTGCACATCTGTTGGGAATATCTCAGTGTATCTTTGTTTGAATGCAGGGATGGGAATATGTGAGAAGGGAAACAGATGGTTTGCTTTGTTTAGGTATGGTTTGAATACAACATGGTGTGGGTTGCCACAAGAGGCATGAGGGCCAAATATCCCCAAACATTCATATAGGTTTTGCAACGTACTTTGTATAACAGTTGTATTCTGATCCCCCAAGAATAAGAATTATGTACAGTATCTGGACAATCATAGAAGATGCAACATTATTATCCCTTGAATCGGGACGCGGTGGCACAAGAGCTTAATGACGCTGGAGTTTGCTGGTCAGAAACGGTCGGCACTCCAGCGGTTTGGGCCCAGCTCTGTAGGATGGGGTGAGCTCCTGTCCCTTGTCCTAGCTCCTGCCCACCCAGCAGTTCGAAAGCTATTCCATCTGCGAGTAGATAAATGGGGACTCCCGCTTAGATGGGAGGGAACAGTGGGGCTGCACGGGGGAGCAAAATACCGGTGCTGGCCGAACTCCGAATGCAGCCGGCATGAGCGACGAGTGATGCGAGCAGCGAGAAAGATCTACGGAGGAGGAAAAAAGCCCGGATGACCCCCTGCTGGTCACATAGCATAATAGCACGAATTGTAAGATTTCTCACTGTTTCTCACTGTTAGATTTATATATATACTTTGTCAGCCGCCCAGAGTTCCCTATTGGGGGGAGATGGGCGGACAATAAATTGAATGTATAAATAAATAAAATAAATAAAATCCCTCAGTGAATAAATGGGACACAACCTCTACATGGTATATTGTTAAATATAACATGTTTCTGCACATTGGAAGGTACACTTAGTATTTATCTCGCCATTGTTTAGAGAAATGCAGTCTCTCCTTTCATTACAGACAGGCCCAGCCACTTTCTCGGTGTAATAACAAGTGCCCTCCAGGATATAGTAAGAGCAAAATAGAAGGGAAGCCATTTTGCTGCTATGATTGCCTTCCCACCTCCCCCTAAAGAAGTCAGTTAACTCCAAAAATGAGTTAAGACCCAACACTTTTGACAATCTTCAGCTTTTGCACTGAAAAGGTTGTTTAACCAGGGCTGTTTCTGATTGCCTGTTGGTAAGCAATATTTAGCATTCAAACATACATACCCCTAAGAAGAATTAAATAATAATAAAACAAATTTCAAGATTTTTAGGCAATTTTCTCTGCAACTATCAAATATCTGTGCAAGAATCACTATCTCACATTTTATTTAAAAAAAAATCTGTTCAATCATGTCCGATTCTTGGAGACTGCCTGCACAAGTCACAGCAGATTTATCTGCAGGGTTTTTCAGAAGTGGCTTGCCACTGTCTGCTTCCTATGGCTGAGAGAAAGTGACTGGCCCAAGGTCACTCAGCTGGTTTTGTGCCTAGGTGGGACTAGAACTCACAGTCTCATTGTTTCTAGCCTGATGCCTTAACTGCTACATCAAACTGGCTCTCAAAATCCAAATCTCAGAAATGCACCACAACAAAACAAAAGGATCCGAGAAAGTGCAAAAATAAATAAATAAATAAATAAATAAATAAATAAATAAATAAATCCATTGACTATTTCAACTTGGGGATATTTACAGTTAGGCTCCTGAACTTGAATAATTGTCACTGACAACTAATACAACACTAGCCAAGGCTGTGAAAGGTGAATTTCAATAAGGAACTGCTTCATTCAGGATGATGGTACTGGAAGCCATGTTTTTAATAATTTTGGCCTAGATAGTATGTAAGATTCCCAGTTGTGACCCTCTGCCTTTTCTTCACAAGGAATACAAACCAGGAGGCCTCAACATTCTAGGCATTCTTTCTAAGATCTACATATTTTAACACATGATGGACTTCACTGAACCACCCTCTAGTTATCTTTTTGATGAAATTCTGTAAGTTTATTTTAGCAGTAACAGATACAGAGGGAGAGATACTGTTTCCTCACTGAATAGGGAATAGCATCCTATCCAGTTATATAAGGAAGGAAAGATATAAGATATAAGATAAATAAATATATCTAAAAAGGTATAAGGCTAAACGCAGGTGATTTTCCATCAATATACAGTATAGTTCTATGGGTTTGAATCCATGGGCATTCAAAAAATATTCTTCCATTGATCTGATCTGGTTATGTGTCAACAAATCAATGTCAACCCTAACTGACCATAAAGATAGTGACCTAGAGATAGATTTTTTTCCAGGATGATCTGTCCTTAAACTGTTAATTCAGATCTTTCAAAAATGCGCCCATCACTACTGTTGTCGAGTCTATCCACCTTGCTGCTGGACATCTTCTTTTTCTTTTCCTCCACCCCGAAAGATCAGTCTTCATGTTCTACTGTGTCTTTGGGTTAATTGGCTTCCTTGCACTTGTCAGTTTCATAGTGGCTTTCCTAGCAAAAAAATTGCCTAGCGCTTTCAGTGAAGCCAAGCATATTACCTTCAGCATGTTGGTCTTTTGCAGTGTGTGGTTGTCCTTTGTTCCAACATGTCTCAGCACAAAAGGAAAATATGTAGTTGCTGTGGAGATCTTCTCTATTATAGCTCCAGTGCAGGGTTACTAATTTACATCTTTTCCCCCAAATGCTGTATTACTGTGTTGAGACCTAATCTGCACAAGAAAGACCAGCTAACAAGGAAAAAGTAGTAACAGTATATAAAATTGCATGAGGCTTTAATATTTTCTATTAGTTTACACTCCTGCACCCATTAACATCTTGGCATGGAGCCAGGTTATTTGAGAGAACACCTCTTCCATATTATACCCACCCATCCCATCAGTGCAGCAGAAGAGGTATGTTGTGGGTCCCATCTTCTAAGGAGTTACATCTCTTGGGATCCAGGAGACAAGCCTTTGCTGACATGGCATCTGCCCTGTGGAATATCATCACCCCCCCCCCAAGTGAGATTAGCCCCATCTTTGCTGAACTTCCAGAATCCCTCAAACCTGGTTCTGTCAATAGGCTCAGGGGTCACAAGGGAAAGGTAATCTGAAGAGATGGCTCCATTGTTCATAATCTGATGCTCTCAGTCATTTCATAATAATAATTTTTGTACTTTGTGAATGTTTTTAAATTGTTTTTTATGGCTGTTTGTATGCCGCCCAGAGATACATCATGTGAGATGTGCAGCCATATAAATATGATAAGATAAAGATATAAAAATAAGATTCAAGAAAGCCCTACTGAACTCTCATGGGCTTATTCCACAGTATATATTGAATGTGTTAGGTCTAAATCTTACAGAACTGATATTTTTCATTGTATTCAACATCTATGTTAATCTTTCATTATTTTTTCCTTGTGAATGTGATGAAAACATAATGGATATGTATTCATAACAATAGTAACACCTGAGAACAAGAGCTCAATCATTTACCTTAAGAGCTGACAAAGAGCCATTAATTGAGCAGTTTAATTTAATTAATCAAAGTTAAAGGAGATAAATGATGACCTTTACCATTTCCATGAGGTATTTTGATAGATGAAGAGTTCATTTATAGTACACTAGAAAAAGAGGTGGAATGTCACAAAAAAAAGGATACCCCCCACACACTTTGATTTACTTATTTGATTTACATAGTACTAACCATTAAGGGTAAATCATAAAAGAAAACCTAATATTCTCCAGTTGCTCTCTTTTAGAGCCCAATTTTCACTTGGTAGATAGGAAATGGTTCTTATACATGGAGGCAAGATGTTCCACAAGAGTGGCATCATCATGAAGAAGGCCGTGCTCCAGTGCCCCAGTAAGATGGAATTCCTATGGAGATGGGGCCTTCAGTATAACCTCTCTCTCAGACCTACAAGATGAGCAGATGCAGTCCAGATCATGCAGACTTGGAAATAGCCAGGCTCTGAATCACGTAGGGCTTTAATTTTAGCTTTATACTGCCAAACCATAGTTTTTTTCCCCATCTCTTGCACAAGCCCAGAAGATATGCATATTCATATGACCGGACACCTCGGACAGAGTGGTATCTATCGTCTAGCAGAATAATGCTTCTCAGAACTGCATATGAAGCCATTTCACTTTAAAATCTGGGGGAAAAAACTTCTTTATTTCCTATTACAAATATAGGAAAATTAAAATTCTTTCTTAAGTTGTAATTGGAACTTTTTCTTGCAGTCAGTACTTACAGGCTTGTATCCTGTCTTCCAACCCCACTAAAGAAGACCAGTGGTGAGATGTGCTTAGAACTGAGTAACATATTTTCTTCTTCAGTATTTCCTTGAACCTCTGATTCCAAGTTGATGTTTTCACCCCTGTAATTACCAATTTAATTATGTTTATTTCAACTTCAGCTCCTAACCCAGTAGAGCAATTGTAACCACCCACACATCTGCAAAAACCCTTTGCATTTCTCACTATTTCACTGAAGAAAATCAGATAATCTTTGTACTCAGAAATGACAAGCATTTTTTTTAAAAAAAATCATGGTTTAATTTCACCTATAATCATCCATTTAAGCAAGGTAACTTCTCAGTCACTTTCAATTCTCAAAGGAACTGCAATAACCACCTTCAAACACACACACACACACACACACACACACAGAAAGCAAAGCAAAGCAAAACAACAAGGATCTGGGAAAAGTACAGGGCTATTATAACCACTCCAGAATTATAGTATTTGACCATTGACTATATTCAGTAAAAAGAGCTGTCTGGGTGCTTATATCAAACTGTCTGATATAAGGAAAGGCAATGCTAGGACAAGCAAAATGGCTTAAATAAGGAACAGCTTCATTCAGCATGGTGGTAGCTGAAGCATTAATTGTTGTGCTTTTGCCCCAAGTGGTGTGCATGATTCCCAGTGCTAAATGCAGCATCAGTGAGCCTCTGCCTGTTCTTCACCAGCAATATGAACCTGGAGACTTCATCATTGTAGGCATCCTGTCTAAGATCTACATATTCTATGACATGATGGACTTCAGGGAAGCACCATCTAGTAATCTCTTTGATGAAATTCTGTAAGTTTTTTTTTTTAGTGCACTTACAATGTCTTAGCAGGTAACAGCAATAAATCTATTTGGCTCATCTTGGAAGTCCTGGTTAATATTTGGATGTGGGTTACCTGGAGATTCCAGGACAGCTGACTAGGCTGAAAAGGGTGTGTGTGTGTGTGTGTGTGTGTGTGTGTTTTACAATGTAAAAGATGTCCCAGAAGAAAGCAGTAGTGAACATTTTTTATAATTCTGGGAAAATAAACCAACCAACAAACAACTTCATGGATGCAGTCATCAGAAATTAAGCTCAACTCATGCTCATTTTTAGTATTTATACACACAACACAGTATTTTTTTATAAGAAGACCTACAGTATTTCAGCTGGTGTTAATTTTAGTCCACTAAAAATGTGGTTAAAATGGAAATGTATCTTCTTTTGCTGAATGGTATCCTACACATGCAAAATTCTCCAGTTCCTCTTCATAATAATCTATGAAGGGCTATGATTACATTTCCTTGGACTGAAAAGAAACAGCTTACTGGTGTTTTTCACGTTTCCCTGTTGTTACCTTAAAAATAACTACAGCATAGGCAAGAAGACCAATAGGTGTTCAGAAAATTCCACCTTACAAGGGAATAAATGGAATGGGGAAAGGGAAAGCTTCTTTGTTGAGATGCAGTTTTATAACTTGCTGGACACTTAGTTCATTTTGCACAAAGTATTTCTAAGGAAGAGTGGCTAGATTAACGTCCATTTCTCCAATAAGAAATCTCTGTTCTTCATAAAGTTGATAAATGTAAGGTATAAATATATTTATATTGGAACATATTTTTATATCTGTAGTTAGGTTGTTAATCAAGCTTTTAAGGAGAATCTCAAAGAACTTAAATTGAACTTAAGCTTATACATGCAGAAGGATAATTAATAAAACTAATATATTTCTAATATATATTTGAGTAAGGAGTAATATTACATTAGCATTACTGATAATATTTTAATAATAGTAATATTGGTAAAATTATCCCTGGGTTTATTTAGTGAGGGAAAGACAATTTATAGTATAGCTGTGAGGTGCTGAGTCCAGGTAATTTTCTATCAAAATCCTGTTTATTTGGGCTGATCTGTGATTTAAAATATTAGATTAGGACTTCTTATATTTCACATTTTTACTTTGCTCATGGGAAAGCCAAAATAGAAGACTGGATGGAAGGAATAGAAACAGTTGTTGTCTGTACAAAAATGGGAAAGAAAAGTATTTTCAGAAACTGACTGAATACTATACTTATACATGCTTTAGCAGCATTTTGGAGACCAAGCGTAACTAACTTCCAAAATTGTTATTTTCCTTGGGGAAATTGTGAATTAGAAGATGGGAATCCAAATGAATGTGACAATATATTTTCACAGTCATGTCTACTGAACGAATCCTTTGTAATATATTGTACTGAAACATGTTCCACGTTACATTTGAACTGAATGTTCTGTGAAAGATTATCTGATTCACTTTTCAGAGTCATGACTCCAATCTATCAGCATTTCCTGGCATTGCAATTTACAATCAAGGAGATCAATGAAAATCCCCAGATTTTACCCAATCTCACCTTGGGCTTCCATATCTATAATAGTTATTTTAGTGCAAGTTGGACCTATCATGCCTCACTGGAACTGCTTTCCTCACAAGACAGATTCATTCCTAATTATAACTGTGATGTCCAGAACAGAGTAATAGCAGTTATTGGAGGACCAACCTCTGAAGTCTGTCTACACATGGCTACCATCCTGTCCCTCTATAAGATACCACAGGTACAATACTTACGTTTGCAAGTCAATAATTCACCATGTTTTTAATTTATGTACATTCATGGATTTGAAGCAAACACTACAGTAATTAAAATAAGCAATTGTATGTGTGTTTGTGTGCGTGTATATCTCATATTTAAAAAGTCAACAAATGACAAACCTTTTCATAGGTGAATATATCCTTGTCAAAAAATGTTGCATAAGATTTGTCAGAACACTGTATATATGTCTGTCCGTCCGTCCGTCCGGATCACTATCTGCAGAGGTTACAAGGGAATTGCACAGTGTTGTAGATATAAAACATTGTACTTTTGATGTTTATTTTAGGTAGATTGCATAGTTAGATTAGCTACATGAGGATACTAATCCTTGCTGATGAAAACTTTTCATTTTGCCCTTTACTTGAAAGAGAGAGAGGAAAAGGGAGAGAGAGAGGGAGAGAGAGAACACTACAACGCATTCTGGTATGCAAAAATGGAAGGTTTGAACTACTCATCCCTGCCTTAAATCAAGAGACTCAAATTTCATGATCGTTGCTTATTTCAGCAAAATAAAGATATGATTATCCTGGTTATCATAGGGTTGAATGTATTAATGGTTTGCCATTCTGGGCTTCTGGGAGTGAACCCAATAATTAGACAAATATGAAAGAGCAGATTTGCATTTTCTCTATGCCAGACTTTGTACTGCACTTGGCTGTCTCCATGCGAAATGTAGTTTCAGCAGTTGCCCTACAGGATATCCTAGAGGGTCAGGGTATGATATGAGCTCTGTTTTATTAATATAATATAAGATATACCATGAAATATAAAAAGGAGCCACTGCTTTGAATATCTGGGAAAATATTCTACCAGTGAATTATTCTTGTGCGCACATCATTCCCTGTGGTGTGGTGAATAGCTTCAGTAGTGTATACTTTATTTAAATTACAGTCTTAACTCTGTTATTTTTGTTGAATTGCACATCATACAAAATAGTTTGGAGAAAGTGGAAACTTGCATTGACACTAATGTGAAGTACAGCCACATACACAATTTGAAATAGGAATAGGATATTAATCTGGAAAAATAGGCATTACAAGGATTTTTTTTAATTACTTTTTTCCCCCTATCCCTTATTTCCATCTTTTTTGGTAAGCTTATCTATGGCTCAGCACCAGAGATCACTGAAAAGACTCATCAAGTTCTATACCAACAGATGTTTCCAAATGTGGACCATCAGTACAGTGGAATTCTCCAGTTACTGAAGCATTTCAGGTGGACATGGATTGGGGCAATATATACGAATAATGAGAATGGTGAAAGGTTTGCACATGATGTTGTTCCCATGTTTTCCCAGAGAGGGATTTGCTTTGCATTTACTGCAAAGTTCCTCAGGATGACTTATTCAAATAGTGTTGATGAACTGTTAGAAGAAGCAATGAAAACATATAAACTGATTATGACAAGCACAGCTAATGTAGTGATAATTCATGGTGAAATTGATGACATGATCCTTTTGAGATGGTTTCCATTCCTATCCCAAACAGAAGGAATACCAATATGGAGACAAGTTAGAGTGTGGGTTTTGACAGCCCAGATGGATTTCACATCACTTCCTTTGTTAAGAAATGAAAAAATAGACTTCCTGCATGGTGCTTTATCTTTTGCAATTCACTCAAAGGAAGTCTTGGGATTCCAGGAATTTCTTCAGATGAGAAACCCTACCTTGGAAAAAAAAGATAGCTTTATCAAGGTCTTCTGGGAAAATGCATTTGAATGCTCGTTTTCTAGCTCCATGGCGGCTGGGGAAGACAGGGTGGTCACCTGTACAGGAGAAGAGAAACTGGAGACTCTTCCTACATCTGTGTTTGAAATGCATATGACTAGCCACAGTTACAGTGTCTACAATGCAGTCTATGTGGTGGCACATGCTTTGGGTGATCTCCTTTCATCTACACTGAATTACAGAGCAGGAAAGCATGTAGCCCAACTGAACCTTATGAAGCAAGAGCTGTGGGAGGTAATGAAGGTCCTGAACAAGCAAATTGCACAGAGTTTGCCAGAAAAAAATTACAGCAGGAGGCAACTCATTCTGTCAAGTCTGATTAGTGTCTAAAGAGCAAACTGTACATTTATCTAAACATCATTTTCCCTCAAAATCTAGTTGAATAGATCTTCCTTTTAAGATTAACATGATATATACTGTAATCATAGGAGCAAAAGAGTACATAGAAGGATAACGCTGAGGGGTTTCACATTATGAGAGGTTTCACAGCTCCTGATACTTTGTGCCTTCAAGTCATTCTTGACTTTTGGGAACTATGTAGCCAATCCATGCAGTTTCTTAGTGACATTTTTGGGAAGTGGTTTGCCACTGCCTTCTTTTTAGGGCTGAGAGAGAGACTTTAGCCAAAGTCCCCCACCTGGCTTCATGCATAACGTAGGACTAGAACTCACAGTCTCCTGATTTTTAGCCCAGTGCCTTTCAACACTCCATCAGTCTACCTCCCCTTCCAGCAGATAGCCAACTTCAATTTCTTTGAAATTGAGATTGATGTATTTGCTCTTTTAAGTTTATATAGGCCAAATAGAAAACAATAGCTTATGACAGTAGTATTCGAATAAATTCTTATTCTTATCTAGTTTCAAAGTTGACTTTAATGCCAGATATTTGTTCTTGTAGCAGACCCTGCTGTCCTATCCTAGTTCCTTCTAAATGCACGTCTTTGAGCACTAGCAGAAGAGACCCATCATCTATTTGCCTTTTTTAGCTGTTGCAACTCAAGGCTCCCCACTTGTCTGTTGAGACATTCCTCAGACTCAAGGACACCAGAGACAGAGCAGAATTTCAGGGCTCAACTTTGAATTGTGAACCCACTTTTTTTTTTTCAAAAAAACCCCTTATTTCTGTGACATTGATACCTAACCAAAAAAGGGAGTGAAAGAGATGGGATTAAGAAAGAATTGCTTCAGAAATTAGCAAGTGAAGATTAACCAAGGGCAGTCTTTTACACCAAAAGTGCCACATAGCTACATATATGAAATTATCCTCAAGGCTTCCTTCCCTGGAAAATCAGATATATCATGAAAAGAAATCACTCAGGAAATTATTCCACACATAACCCTACTGAGGAGTAATCCAACATGTTTAGTTTGGATATGGATGCACAGAAGCTACATGATTGTCTTAATAGTCCTGCTTATTCTGAAGCTGTGGAGGTTTTGCACTCCTAAGATAACATGCCTGGCAGATATTTTTTACTGGAAAAGGGAGGGGATACTGAGACACTAGCCTTGTTTTCTTCTTGTATTTAGTGAGGGAAACAAAACCTCTGGTTCCCCATTATATATATATATATATAATGTAATGTAATATATAATATATATAATATTATATATATATGTGTG